ATGCAGTGTATCCCCTAGTATTATCTGGTAACTGTGCCCTCCACCACCACGAGCAGTTTAGTTGATCTAGTAAATTGACGGTGGTTGTAGCCATCTTTGGGTTTGCTAATGTCACTTAGCTGGAACGCCCATCTTGGATGGTTAAATCACTGTGATGTGTTCTTGATTACTTAGAGATTTTTATTAAAAACTTCAAAGGACTGCTTCAAGACAATGCAAGCAATAAAAAGCCTTTTTATTTGTTCCTTCTGCAGCACAGAGTACACACACTCATACTTTGGTGCATATGTGTGAACGGCCTCATCGAATGCATACTTACGTTCGAACACACCTGCCTCCGCTCCTTCCACAGCGTACACGTGTGTGCAATCAGAGCAGCACAAACACTGAGCACATGCAGATCAGAAAGCGTGCACATGAATGCTCAGCGCTCAGTTTGAACCTTTGTATCTTAATCAAGTGGCACCCTCAGCTTCATGTCTCCTGCTGCACAACGTTCAGCCCCCCTCAGACCCTGCAGCGGGTCGGGGGCTGAACGGGGTACAGCCGGAGCGCTACAGCACATCAGCCAGCAGAGTTTTCTCCTCTTACACACACAAACAGACGCAGTCCCTGCTAGCACACACACACTGCCAGTGGTATTTTAAAAAAAATTAAAATTAAAAAAACATTTTCATTTGTACTGCCTTTGGGCCAACAGCCAAGTGCAAAATGTGTATCAACGTGCTGTCAGCACCGTCCAACCTTTGTTGCCATCTCGATGTCAGGTCACGTCAACTTCCTGTTCCTGAGGAGGTTCAGAGTTAACATGTTGAGGGTTAAACTCAGGAGTGGACTGGAGGTGTGTCATCATGGCGACAACATCCTCCTGAAGGAACATTACTTGGTAAAACATTTGTTCTTCCTGCTGGATAAACCTTTGTTGTTTTAGAGATAGTCTGTGAAATATGAAGTGATGTTCTGTCAAACTGTTATCAGAGGCGTATATAGTAAAGTACTTAAAAGAAAAACTAAGTAAAAAGAAAACTACTTTAACAGAAAATGATTTAGGTAAAAATGAATTTCACCTACAAGAAAGGTACTTCAGTAAAAAAGTCATAAAACTGCCCACAATAATGAAGAAAGTTGAATTTACTTAAAAAAAGAAACTGTACCACTAAATTGAGTTGAGTAATTTGAGCAAATTGCACATTTTCTTTAAAATAAAATGTGCAATTTGCTTTACATTTACTCAGCTAGGTTTAATGGAACCAGTTATTATAACGTGGTTCAGTAAATTCAACACTTTATTTTTAATGTGCATGAACAACTTCTTTCATGATTAGTTCTGGTCATATTTAAATATGTGACGTGTTAATTTTCAAACTAAAGCAGTAGACGTATCATTTAGGCATGTAAAAATAAAAATGAAAGTAAAAGTTATGATTAAAAACAAAATACTTGGTAAAATCAACCCCCGCCCCCAAATTACTTAAGTGTAATAACATAAATATACTTAGTAACCATACACCCATGGTAATTATGAGCGATGACTTCAACCACTGAGTATAAAGTGTGAAGGAAACATGCAAAAGGCTAAACTAAAACAACTTTTATATTTAATTTTTCAGGTTTACAAAATAAATTGTTTTTTAAAATGTTATACAGGTGAATTATATAAAGGTTTAATAAAAAATTAAAACAACTGGACTTCTGTTCTAGATCTTAAGAGGGTTTTTTAAACAAAATGAAATAGGAGATTTTATTTAATCAAAGCTATATGACCAGATGTCCCTGGTTACAGTCTACAGACAGACAGAAGCAGCAGGTTCTGATAAACTTTCAACAGGAGTGGAATTTAAAAAAATAATAATAACGTAGACATTTTTCCTTAGAAGCCAAAAAAAGACTTAATTGTGCACTAAAAGCCACACAGAGAATGAATGTAGTGTAAAGTTATGATGCATTGTTTCTGTGTTGTTCCTCATAAGAATCTTTGTGATCTCAGTGGATCGGGTCACCCTAAAAATTGTATGTGTTATTAAAATATTGGTGTATTTAAAAAAAAGAATATACATACCAGAACTGTGTTTAATCAAACCATCTTTTATATTTCTACCCTAATCATACATCTCTCTATTAATCACAGTGACTTGTCAATCAACTGGGGTAACCAATCAGCTTCCAGCTTGCCCCCCCATGTGTAAAACCATGAAGGGTTAGGGGACGGTCTAACTCTAAACCCAAAGCCACAAAATAATCTTTTGAAGCAGGGGTGTCCATTCCTGCTCTTCATGAACCACAATCCTGAGGTTTATCTGACCCAAAACACCTGATTTGAACAACTGGGTGATTAACAGGCTTCTGCAGAACTTGAAGAGGTAATTCAGTCAGTGAATCAAGTGTGTTGGAGCAGAGAAACAAGTGAAACATGGAGGATAGCGGCCCTCAAAGACCAGGATTGGACACCTCGTGGCCTAAAGCAGCAGTTGTAAGGCTAAAGGAAAATTTGCTGACGTCATTGCAAAGATTTTTGTCCTAGGATGAAATATTTGAACAAATGTGATCGAATATTATTCATGGGAATTCACAAATATGTCACATATTTGGTTTACATCCACAACAGTTGAGTATCTTGATCAGTGTGTCTAAAATCAGGCCATCCCCTCTACAGTACTACAGTGGGTTTTTGTGCAAGTACGAGTAGTCAGTATATTACCTGCAGCAGAGAGCAGTCAGTGTGATCTTATCAGTCAAGCTGATGGTTAGTCAGAAGTGGCCTCATTTAGGAGTAAATTCTCATCATTTAAACTCAAACTCCAACACTTTATAGTTTGTTTTTGTTTGCATTAGATAATTCTGCACACGGACTGAGGATCAGACTGTCTGTGAGATGTGACCTGATGTAACATTTTTAAAGTTTCTATTGTTTAAGTGGCAGATTGTTGTTCTTAAACAGGCTCCCTCTGAGTAGCTGTTAGCTTTCCTTTCATATCATTTATCTTTGTTTCTCCAAAATGAGAACAGTCTGACTTTTATCCACTGCAGGTGAGATACTGACTGTTCAAAACTGCTACTGCAAAGAATATGCGAGTTCTTTTAAAGGCACAGTGTGTAGGATTTTGTCAAGTCTTTTAGCTGAAATTGAGATAATCACTAATGACAATAATAAAAACATGTCTAATCATTGCAGACAAAGACCTTGTTTTATTATTTTTACTTTATAAAAAGCTGTTTATATCTCCATGGTCGCTGGTCGCCACACAGGCAGCCGCCATCTTGTCTACGAAGGCTCATGAAGGACAAACTGTGGTGACGGCGTCAAAAACGGTTTTAGTTGTAATACTATAAATGTAATATTTGTTGTCTGTCATTGTAGCTGGGATAATTTTCCTTATTAAAGCTCATAATCTTACCACTTGAAACATCACTAGCCCTGAAGCTGCTGGTAGACATCGCGGTTGGAATGATCAAAGATTTTTGACACCTTAGAGCAGAGGTCCCCAAACTTTTTCCTGTAAGGGCCACATAACTTTTCCCTTCTCTGGTGGGGGACCGGAGTCAGTTTGTAACAGAAAAAGTGTGACTATTGCAGGAGTTCCTAAATGTAAAAATGTATTGTTTTCCAGAAAGCACAATCAAATAACCCTCTCTGGGTTCTTCACAGTATTCTGCTGAGCTAACAGTCCACTTTTTAGCTTTGAGAGTTTGTTTGCTCACATTTGGCCTTGCAAGCTACCATACTTGTCTTTGTGACGGGATTCATAGTGTCGCCACAGATTGTATTCTTTGAATACTGCCACTGCCTCTTGACAGATGAACAAAAAAATAATCGTTTGTCCACTGCAGCTTAAATGTCCTGCATTCTGGATCAGTTTTTCTCTTACCTAATCTTTTTGCCATTATTCCATCCTCTCTTTGAGAGGGGCGGGTTTAGGATTTTTTTCTGGGGGTTGCCAGATAGGGGCACAGACCGCAGAAGGGTGGAACAGAATGTCACGTTATATGTGTTCATGTATGAAATAGTTACTAACTAATAATAGTTAATAATAGTTCATAACTAAGGAACATTTTATTGCAAAAGTCCAACTTTATAATCAAATATAAATACACATGTATGAAAAAAAACTAAATTCTCTCTGGTATTGTTCTGGGGGCCGGACCAAATGGGGAGGCGGGCCGGATCCGGCCCACGTGCCGTAGTTTGGGGACCACTGCCAGCAACTCCTTTGCGTTTGGAAGTGGGGGTGGGGGTGGGGGGAGGACCAGGGAGGATGATTCAACCACTCAACCACTAGATGTCGCTGAAAACAACAAATCCTACACACTGTGCCTTTAAAGCAATCTCAAGCAGAGCTGCTATGAAGGGAGGAATTATACATCATAACAGATTTATGTAACAGTGTTTGTAATCTGACTCAGTCTACAGTATGGACATTTAGGAGAAAGTAAAGAACATTTATTTAAGCTCCTGTTTAAATTAGCTTGTTCCTTGTCAATTCAAGAGGGAACACTTCACCATGCCACCGTCCTGACCAGAGTTCCTTCGGTTTTGCCTTTGACGTCTTCAGAAAATTTGACATTAAAGCAGCTTCTCATTCATTTCAAATGAGAAACAATGAGTTAAGTAGACACGCTCACGTCTGCACAGAAATGCTGGCTTCCCAAAGACATAATTGATTCCTGCCCGCAGCGTGTTAACCACCAACCGTCTTTAAGACGTTTTACCTTCCCTGCGGTGGGATTCTGGACCACAGAAACGAAACTGTCAGACTGGGCAGCGCACTCACTCACAGGCAGCCACATGTTTACATAATCTACCTCATCCACAGACGTAGTCAGAACCCTATAACTCAGAGTAATTTCACTGACGCTCATCATTATGTAACCGTTTTTATTGAATAATGTTGGTCTGGTATGTCCTTAACTTAACTTCTTC